GACTGAGGCTCCCACAGGGTTCAGTGTTAATCACTGAGACTCACAGAGCCAGACTGAGGCTCCCACAGGGTTCAGTGTTAATCACTGAGACTCACAGAGCCAGACTGAGGCTCCCACAGGGTTCAGTGTTAATCACTGAGGCTCAATGAGCCAGACTGAGGCTCCCACAGGGTTCAGTGTTAATCACTGAGACTCACAGAGCCAGACTGAGGCTCCCACAGGGTTCAGTGTTAATCACTGAGACTCACAGAGCCAGACTGAGGCTCCCACAGGGTTCAGTGTTAATCACTGAGACTCACAGAGCCAGACTGAGGCTCCCACAGGGTTCAGTGTTAATCACTGAGACTCACAGATCCAGACTGAGGCTCCCACAGGGTTCAGTGTTAATCACTGAGACTCACAGAGCCAGACTGAGGCTCCCACAGGGTTCAGTGTTAATCACTGAGACTCACAGAGCCAGACTGAGGCTCCCACAGGGTTCAGTGTTAATCACTGAGACTCACAGAGCCAGACTGAGGCTCCCACAGGGTTCAGTGTTAATCACTGAGGACTCACAGAGCCAGACTGAGGCTCCCACAGGGTTCAGTGTTAATCACTGAGACTCACAGAGCCAGACTGAGGCTCCCACAGGGTTCAGTGTTAATCACTGAGGCTCACAGAGCCAGACTGAGGCTCCCACAGGGTTCAGTGTTAATCACTGAGACTCACAGAGCCAGACTGAGGCTCCCACAGGGTTCAGTGTTAATCACTGAGACTCACAGAGCCAGACTGAGGCTCCCACAGGGTTCAGTGTTAATCACTGAGACTCACAGAGCCAGACTGAGGCTCCCACAGGGTTCAGTGTTAATCACTGAGACTCACAGAGCCAGACTGAGGCTCCCACAGGGTTCAGTGTTAATCACTGAGACTCACAGAGCCAGACTGAGGCTCCCACAGGGTTCAGTGTTAATCACTGAGACTCACAGAGCCAGACTGAGGCTCCCACAGGGTTCAGTGTTAATCACTGAGACTCACAGAGCCAGACTGAGGCTCCCACAGGGTTCAGTGTTAATCACTGAGACTCACAGAGCCAGACTGAGGCTCCCACAGGGTTCAGTGTTAATCACTGAGACTCACAGAGCCAGACTGAGGCTCCCACAGGGTTCAGTGTTAATCACTGAGACTCACAGAGCCAGACTGAGGCTCCCACAGGGTTCAGTGTTAATCACTGAGGCTCACAGAGCCAGACTGAGGCTCCCACAGGGTTCAGTGTTAATCACTGAGACTCACAGAGCCAGACTGAGGCTTCCACAGGGTTCAGTGTTAATCACTGAGACTCACAGAGCCAGACTAAGCCTCCCACAGGGTTCAGTGTTAATCAATAAGGCTCACTGAGCCAGACTGAGGCTCCCACATGGTTCATTGTTAATTACTGAGGCTCACTGATCCAGACTGAGGCTCCCACAGGGTTCAGTGTTAATCACTGAGACTCACAGAGCCAGACTGAGGCTCCCACAGGGTTCAGTGTTAATCACTGAGACTCACAGAGCCAGACTGAGGCTCCCATAGGGTTCAGTGTTCATCACTGAGGCTCACAGATTCAGACTGAGGCTCCCACAGGGTTCAGTGTTAATCACTGAGGCTCACTGAGCCAGACTGAGGCTCCCACAGGGTTCAGTGTTAATCACTGAGACTCACAGAGCCAGACTGAGGCTCCCACTAGGGTTCAGTTTTCATCACTGAGGACTCACAGAGCCAGACTGAGGCTCCCACAGGGTTCAGTGTTAATCACTGAGACTCACAGAGCCAGACTGAGGCTCCCACAGGGTTCAGTGTTAATCACTGAGACTCACAGAGCCAGACTGAGGCTCCCACAGGGTTCAGTGTTAATCACTGAGACTCACAGAGCCAGACTGAGGCTCCCACAGGGTTCAGTGTTAATCACTGAGACTCACAGAGCCAGACTGAGGCTCCCACAGGGTTCAGTGTTAATCACTGAGACTCACAGAGCCAGACTGAAGGCTCCCACAGGGTTCAGTGTTAATCACTGAGGACTCACATGAGCCAGACTGAGGCTCCCACATAGGGTTCAGTGTTAATCACTGAGACTCACAGAGCCAGACTGAGGCTCCCACAGGGTTCAGTGTTAATCACTGAGACTCACAGAGCCAGACTGAGGCTCCCACAGGGTTCAGTGTTAATCACTGAGGACTCACAGAGCCAGACTAAGGCTCCCACACGGTTCAGTGTTAATCACTGAGGCTCACTGAGCCAGACTGAGGCTCCCTCCCACAGGGTTCAGTGTTAATCACTGAGACTCACAGAGCCAGACTGAGGCTCCCACAGGGTTCGTGTGTTAATCACTGAGACTCACAGAGCCAGACTGAGGCTCCCACAGGGTTCAGTGTTAATCACTGAGGCTCACAGAGCCAGACTAAGGCTCCCACAGGGTTCAGTGTTAATCACTGAGACTCACAGAGCCAGACTGAGGCTCCCACAGGGTTCAGTGTCAATCACTGAGACTCACAGAGCCAGACTGAGGCTCCTACAGGGTTCAGTGTTTATCGCTGTGAGGCTCACAGAGCCAGACTGAGGCTCCCTCCCACAGGGTTCAGTGTTAATCACTGAGACTCACAGAGCCAGACTGAGGCTCCCACAGGGTTCAGTGTTAATCACTGAGACTCACAGAGCCAGACTGAGGCTCCCACAGGGTTCAGTGTTAATCACTGAGACTCACAGAGCCAGACTGAGGCTCCCACAGCGTTCAGTGTTAATCACTGAGACTCACAGAGCCAGACTGAGGCTCCCACAGGGTTCAGTGTTAATCACTGAGACTCACAGAGCCAGACTGAGGCTCCCACAGGGTTCAGTGTTAATCACTGAGACTCACAGAGCCAGACTGAGGCTCCCACAGGGTTCAGTGTTAATCACTGAGACTCACAGAGCCAGACTGAGGCTCCCACAGGGTTCAGTGTTAATCACTGAGACTCACAGAGCCAGACTGAGGCTCCCACAGGGTTCAGTGTTAATCACTGAGACTCACAGAGCCAGACTGAGGCTCCCACAGGGTTCAGTGTTAATCACTGAGACTCACAGAGCCAGACTGAGGCTCCCACAGGGTTCAGTGTTAATCACTGAGGCTCACAGAGCCAGACTAAGGCTCCCACAGGGTTCAGTGTTAATCAATAAGGCTCACTGAGCCAGACTGAGGCTCCCACATGGTTCATTGTTAATTAATAAGTCTCACTGATCCAGACTGAGGCTCAGAAATGGTTCAGTGTTAATCACTGAGACTCACAGAGCCAGAATGAGGCTCCCACAGGGTTCAGTGTTAATCATTGAGACTCACTGAGCCAGACTGAGGCTCCCACAGGGTTCAGTGTTAATCACTGAGTCTCACAGAGCCAGACTGAGGCTCCCACAGGGTTCAGTGTCAATCACTGAGACTCACTGAGCCAGACTGAGGCTTCCACATGGTTCAGTGTTAATCACTAACACTCACAGGGCCAGACTGAGGCTCCCACAGGGTTCAGTGTTAATCATTGAGACTCACAGAGCCAGACTGAGGCTCCCACACGGTTCAGTGTTAATCACTGCGACTCACAGAGCCAGATTAAGGCTCCCTCCCACAGGGTTCAGTGTTAATCACTGAGACTCACAGAGCCAGACTGAGGCTCCCACAGGGTTCAGTGTTAATCACTGAGACTCACAGAGCCAGACTGAGGCTCCCACAGGGTTCAGTGTTAATCACTGAGACTCACAGAGCCAGACTGAGGCTCCCACAGGGTTCAGTGTTAATCACTGAGGACTCACAGAGCCAGACTGAGGCTCCCACAGGGTTCAGTGTTAATCACTGAGGCTCACAGAGCCAGGCTGAGGCTCCCACAGGGTTCAGTGTTAATCACTGGGACTCACAGAGCCAGACTAAGGCTCCCACAGGGTTCAGTGTTAATCACTGAGACTCACAGAGCCAGACTGAGGCTCCCACAGGGTTCAGTGTTAATCACTGAGACTCACAGAGCCAGACTGAGGCTCCCACAGGGTTCAGTGTTAATCACTGAGACTCACAGAGCCAGACTGAGGCTCCCACAGGGTTCAGTGTTAATCACTGAGGCTCACAGAGCCAGACTGAGGCTCCCACAGGGTTCAGTGTTAATCACTGAGACTCACAGAGCCAGACTGAGGCTCCCACAGGGTTCAGTGTTAATCACTGAGACTCACAGAGCCAGACTGAGGCTCCCACAGGGTTCAGTGTTAATCACTGAGGACTCACAGAGCCAGACTGAGGCTCCCACAGGGTTCAGTGTTAATCACTGAGGCTCACAGAGCCAGACTGAGGCTCCCACAGGGTTCAGTGTTAATCACTGAGACTCACAGAGCCAGACTGAGGCTCCCACAGGGTTCAGTGTTAATCACTGAGGCACACAGAGCCAGACTAAGGCTCCCACAGGGTTCAGTGTTAATCACTGAGACTCACAGAGCCAGACTGAGGCTCCCACAGGGTTCAGTGTTAATCACTGAGACTCACAGAGCCAGACTGAGGCTCCCACTGGGGTGCAATGTTAATTGATACGGATTACATGACGCAATAGACAATTTCACGCCACCTTTATCACCTCTCCAACGCTATTCGATGTGAGCGGACGTCATTGACAAATATGCTAATTACATTTTCTGCGTCACAATAACCCCGACGGACATGACGTCACCATCAGGCATCCTGCGACGGTGTCATCGGTGACCGTCATCGAATGAAGGACCGCGTAGCTTCGGGGAATGGGGTGGGGGTCCTTGAATTGTCTGAGTGAGGTGGCCAGAGCGGGCATGAGGTAGCCGAAGCGACCTGCCTGATTCAAACGATTGCCTGACAAAAGGTATTCGTTAAAACTTTAACATCACATTTTTTTTTGCATGCACATATTAGTTTTTTTTTTATAAATTACCATCGTTGTTGTTGCCGATAAACCACGGCGTGCCTTCAAAAATAAAGTTTAAATGGAATAAAAAATATAAAAAGTACCCGTACAGTATCCACTGTAGGCGTATATAAATAATTAATGGTTTTGCCTCGCTGCTAATGTTCGCGCGTGCGCTGAGTGTTGGAACGCGCAGAGCGATGGCATCATCATCAGCAACATCAACATCAGCAACACCATCAGCATCATCATCAACACCATCAGCATCATCATCAGCAACACCATCAGCATCATCAGCATCATCATCAGCAGCAGCACCATCATCATCAGCACCATCAGCATCATCATCAGCACCATCATCAGCAGCAGCAACATCATCAGCAGCAACATCATCAGCAGCAGCATCAGCAACATCATCAGCAGCAGCAGCATCAGCAGCTGGAACTTATTCTGCTGCTTACGTTACGTGTCCCAGTGAAGATGTTGCCAAGACGATAGCCAGGTGATGGTGGTGGTGATGGTGGTGGTGGTGATGGTGGTGGTGATGGTGGTGGTTGTGGTGATGGTGGTGGTGATGGTGGTGGTGGTGATGGTGGTGGTGGTGGTGGTGATATTGGTGGTGATGGTGGTGGTGGTGGTGATGGTGATGGTGGTGGTGATGGTGGTGATGGTGGTGGTGGTGATGGTGGTGGTGGTGATGGTGATGGTGGTGATGGTGGTGGTGATGGTGGTGGTGGTGATGGTGGTGGTGGTGGTGATGGTGGTGGTGGTGATGGTGGTGATGGTGGTGGTGGTGATGGTGGTGGTGGTGATGGTGGTGATGGTGGTGGTGGTGATGGTGGTAGTGGTGGTGATGGTGGTGGTGGTGATGGTGGTGATGGTGGTGGTGGTGATGGTGGTAGTGGTGGTGGTGATGGTGGTGGTGATGGTGGTGGTGGTGATGGTGGTGGTGGTGGTGATGGTGGTGGTGGTGATGGTGGTGATGGTGATGGTAGTGGTGATGGTGGTGGTGATGGTGGTGATGGTGGTGGTGGTGGTGATGGTGGTGGTGATGGTGGTGGTGATGGTGGTGATGGTGGTGGTGGTGATGGTGGTGGTGGTGATGGTGATGGTGGTGATGGTGGTGGTGATGGTGGTGGTGGTGATGGTGGTGGTGGTGGTGATGGTGGTGGTGGTGATGGTGGTGATGGTGGTGGTGGTGATGGTGGTGGTGGTGATGGTGGTGATGGTGGTGGTGGTGATGGTGGTAGTGGTGGTGATGGTGGTGGTGGTGATGGTGGTGATGGTGGTGGTGGTGATGGTGGTAGTGGTGGTGGTGATGGTGGTGGTGATGGTGGTGGTGGTGATGGTGGTGGTGGTGGTGATGGTGGTGGTGGTGATGGTGGTGATGGTGATGGTAGTGGTGGTGGTGGTGGTGGTGATGGTGGTGATGGTGATGGTGGTGATGGTGGTGGTGGTGATGGTGGTGGTGATGGTGGTGGTGGTGATGGTGATGGTGGTGATGGTGGTGGTGGTGATGGTGGTGGTGATGGTGGTGGTGGTGATGGTGGTGGTGATGGTGGTGGTGGTGATGGTGGTGATGGTGATGGTGGTGATGGTGGTGGTGATGGTGGTGGTGATGGTGGTGGTGGTGATGGTGGTGGTGATGGTGGTGATGGTGGTGGTGATGGTGGTAGTGGTGGTGGTGGTGATGGTGGTAGTGGTGATGGTGGTGGTGGTGATGGTGGTAGTAGTGGTGGTGATGGTGATGGTGGTAGTGGTGGTGGTGATGGTGAAAGTGGTAGTGGTGGTGGTGATGGTGATAGTGGTGGTGGTAATGATGATGATGCTGCTGCTGAAGATGATGGTGGTGGTGATGCTGGTGATGATGATGCTGCTGATGCTGCTGATGGTGATGGTGGTGATGGTGCTGATGATGATGCTGCTGATGATGATTGTGGTGGTGGTGGTGATGCTGGTGATGATGATGCTGATGATGCTGCTGATGATGGTGGCGGTGATGCTGCTGATGCTGCTGCTGATGATGAAGGTGATGATGCTGATGATGGTGATGCTGCTGATGGTGATGATGATGGTGCTGATGATGGTGATGCTGCTGATGAAGGTGATGATGATGATGATGATGCTGCTGATGATGATGATGCTGCTGATGATGGTGATGCTGATGATGGTGATGCTGCTGATGATGATGATGCTGATGATGCTGCTGCTGTTTCTGCAGGGCCCTTGTGCAGATGAAGCTTGCCGCCTGTGTGAACGTGATCCCCCGTGTGACGTCAATGTGAGTGGTGCACCCAGCCTGGCACTGCACCCGCAGTGACGTCACCACGGAGGGATTCCCCCGTGTGACGTCAGTGCGAGTGGTGTGTGTGTGTCTGTGTGTGTGTGTGTCTGTGTGTGTGTCTGTGTGTGTCTGTGTGTGTGTATCTGTGTGTGTATCTGTGTGTGTGTCTGTGTGTGTGTGTATCTGTGTGTGTGTCTGTGTGTGTCTGTGTGTGTGTGTGTGTGTCTGTGCGTGTGTGTGTCTGTGTGGGTGTCTGTGTGTGTGTCTGTGTGTGTCTGTGTGTGTGTGTATGTGTGTGTGTGTCTGTGTGTATGTGTGTGTCTGTGTGTATGTCTCTGTGTGTGTCTGTGTGTGTATGTCTCTGTGTGTGTGTCTGTCTGTCTGTGTGTGTGTGTGTGTCTGTCTGTCTGTGTGGGTGTCTGTCTGTGTGTGTGGGTGTCTGTCTGTGTGTGTGTCTGTCTGTGTGTGTGCATCTGTGTGTGTGTCTGTGCGTGTGTGTGTGTTTGTGCCTGTGTGTGTCTGTGTGTGTCTGTGTTTGTGTGTGTGTCTGTGTGCCAGGAAAGGTCCTGGCAAGGATTATTCAACATCGCCTTGCCAGGCACGCTGAGGAGAGGCTTGCGGAGCCCCATTGCGGTTTCAGGAAAGGGCGGTCCTGCACAGATGCCATATTTTCTGTCCATCTGCTTCAGCAGAGGTGTAGGGAATTCCAACAAGACCTATATCTCTGCTTTATTGACCTGGTCAAGGCCTATGATAACCATCAGTAGGCCTGGCCTCTGGGTTGTTCTTCGTGCTTTCGGAGTCCCTGACCCTCTGCTCACGATCATTAAGGACCTTCATGATGGTGAGCGGGCCCGGGTAAAACTACGTGGCCGGGAGTCCGAACCATTCCCTGTACACCTTGGGGTGCGACAGGGATGTCCTCTGGCTCCCACATTATTTAACATCTATTTTGACCACGTAGTTCGTGAAGCCTTCAATAGCTGTACCGGCGGAATCTCCATATGGTACAGATATAATGGGAGGCTGATCGATGCCCGGGTGCGGTCAAGGGATGGCTCCCTATTGCTCAACCACGTTATGTATACTGATGATTTGGTAATAGCTGCTCATTCAGAGGAGGAGTTGGAGACGCTGCTGCTGATACTGGAGCGTGCCACTAAGAGGTGGGGCTTTACCATCAGCTCCACCAAAACTAAGCACCTGCCTGGGTATTTTGTACCATCGGACACTCCACCCCCACAACTCCCAATCGGTGATGGGGCAGTTGTGGAGAGAGTGGAGAGTTTCCCATACCTGGGCAGTGTGCTTATGACCGGCTCCAGTTTAACAGCAGAGGTCTCACTCCGAATCAGTGGAGCGGCATTATCTTTTCATCGGTTGCGTAACAGCGTGGAAGCTACCTGGTCTGTCGCTCCGCACTAAGCTTCAGGTCTTCTCGGCCACAGTCATTCCCTTCCTCTACGCTTGCCAAACGTGGACCCCCCTAATGGAACAGCTTCGCCGGTTGTAAACATTTAGGCTGGCCCGCCTACGATCCGTCCTGGGTTTAACCAGGCTGGATTGTGTGAGGAGCTCACAAATCCTTGAAAGATCTGGGCAAGGTCCCATCGGTGAGCTCCTCCGGCAGGCAAGGCTGCGGTGGCTGGGTCATGTAGCCCGCATGCCCAGCCACCGCATGCCCAACAGCTTTTGTTCGGCCAGATCGAGGGGGCTAAACGGGCGCGGCACGGGCTAGAGAAGAGATGGAGTGATGTGGTACAGGAGGACGTGGAGCTGAGTGGACTTGCCGATGATTGGTACCAGCAGTGTCAAGATCGGCCTCTGTGGAGGAGGCTCGTGAAGGACGCTACTGGGCAGTTGGAGGCAGTCGCCCTCCAACAACAACGGAGGGCGGAGGAGCGACGCTCACAACAACGAGCGGAGCGCCAGGTGGCTAAAGCACAGCGGGTTGGCACAGTAGGGGGCACAGGTGGTGCATCAGCCAGTCATCTCAGTCGACCCGTGGCACCTGGGTCTGCCCGGTGACCTCCTGCCAGCGGGCGTTCAACACTTCACGTGGCCTCAAGGTGCACATAGCCTGGCAGAAGCGTCGTGGTGACGTCACCGCCACTTTGTGGCGAATGGCGGTTGTTGTTGTTGTTGTGTATTCCAGTTATTCATGGAAGGGAAACATAGAGGAAGATACAGAAGTCTTATTGGTGAGGACTTGACACACACACACTGACACACACAGACACACACTGACACTGCCACACACACAGACACACACACACAGACACACACAAACACACATAGACACGGCCACACACACAGACACACACAGACACACACACACACAGACACTGCCACACACTGCCACACACAGACACGCACAGACACACATAGACACTGCCACACACAGACACTGCCACACACAGACACAGACAGACAGAGACACACAAACACACACAGACACGCACAGACACACATAGACACTGCCACACACACAGACACTGCCACACAGACACTGCCACACACTGCCACACACTGCCACACACTGCCACACACTGCCACACACAGACACACACAGACACTGCCACACACACACAGACACTGCCACACACTGACACACAGACACACACAGACACACAAACACTGCCACACACAGACACACACACACACACAGACACTGCCACACACAGACACACACACACACACTGACACACACAGACACTGCCACACACACAGACACTGCCACACACAGACACACACACACACACTGACACACACAGACACTGCCAGACACACAGACACTGCCACACACACAGACACTGCCACACACAGACACACACTGACACACACAGACACTGCCACACACAGACACTGCCACACACAGACACACACTGACACACACAGACAGTGCCACACACACACAGACACTGCCACACACACACAGACACACACACAGACACTGCCACACACAGACACACACACACAGACACACACAGACACTGCCACACACAGACACTGCCACACATAGACACAGACTGACACACACAGACACACACACACTGCCACACACACACAGACACACACAGACACTGCCACAAACACACATAGACACTGACACACACTGACACACACAGACACACACAGACACACAAAGACACTGCCACACACAGACACACACAGACACACATAGACACTGACACACACAAAGACACACAAAGACACACACACACAGACACACACAGACACACACTGACACACACAGACACACACAGACACACATAGACACTGCCACACACTGACACACACAGACACACATAGACACACATAGACACACACAGACACACACACACAGACACACACACACACAGACACACACACACAGACACACACACACACACAGACACACACAGACACACACACACAGACACACACACACAGACACACAGACACACACAGACACACACAGACACTGCCACACACTGACACACACTGACACACACAGACACACACAGACACACACTGACACACACTGCCACACACTGACACACACAGACACACACAGACACTGCCACACACAGACAAAAGTCTCCTATAAAGTCTTAACAGACTGTTGGGGCAAGTGCTGTTGATGGTGATGATGATGCTGATGATGATGGTGGTGATGATGGTGGTGATGGTGGTGGAGATGGTGGTGGTGATGGTGGTGGTGATGGTGGTGGTGATGGTGGTGGTGATGGTGGTGGTGATGGTGGTGGTGATGGTGGTGGTGATGGTAGTGATGATGATGGTGGTGGTGATGATGATGGTGATGATGGTGATGGTGGTGATGGTGGTGATGGTGGTGATGATGATGGTGATGATGATGGTGATGATGATGGTGATGATGGTGATGATGGTGATGGTGGTGATGATGATGGTGATGGTGGTGATGATGATGATGGTGATGATGTTTCAGATGATCAAGACCAGATCTTCAAAGGTGCCACATCTGGCTGAATACGTCAGGTTTGCTTCATTGCACAGACAAAGCTACCCCAGGTAGCCTCTAGCAGGGCTGTAGGGGCAAGTGCTGTCAGTAGCGAGTAGCAGCAGCAGTGTCTATGTACTACACACACCACACATAAAGCTCCCCCAGGTAGCCTCTAGCAGGGATGTAGGGGCAAGTGCTGTTAGTAGCGAGTAACAGCAGCAGTGTCTATGTACTGCACACACCAAACACAGACAAAGCTCCCCCAGGTAGCCTCTAGCAGGGATGTAGGGGCAAGTGCTGTTAGTAGCGATTAGCAGCAGCAGTGTCTATGTACTACAAACACCACACACAGGCAAAGCTACCCCAGGTAGCCTCTAGCAGGGCTGTAGGGGCAAGTGCTGTTAGTAGCGAGTAGCAGCAGCAGTGTCTATGTACTACACACACCACACACAGACAAAGCTCCCCCAGGTAGCCTCTAGCAGGGCTGTAGGGGCAAGTGCTGTTAGTAGCGAGTAGCAGCAGCAGTGTCTATGTACTGCACACACCACACACAGACACACACACAGACACACACATACATAGACAGACACACAACAACAACGACAACTGCCATTCGCCACTAAGTGGCGGTGACGTCACCACGACGCTTGTGCCAGGCCATGTGCACCTTGAGGCCACGTGAAGTGTCGAACGCCCGCTGGCAGGAGGTCACGGGGCAGACCCAGGTGCCACGGGTCGACTGACTGAGATGACTGGCTGATGCACCACCTGTGCCCCCTACTGTGCCAACCTGCTGTGCTTTAGCCACCCGGTGCTCCGCTCGTTGTTGTAAGCGTCGCTCCTCCGCCCTTCGTTGTTGTTGGAGGGCGACTGCCTCCAACTGCCCAGCAGCATCCTTCACGAGCCTCCTCCACAGAGGCCGATCTTGACACTGCTGGTACCAGTCATCGGCAAGTCCACTCAGCTCCACGTCCTCCTGTACCACATCACTCCATCTCTTCTCTAGCCCGTGCCCCGCCCGTTTAGCCCCCTCGATCCGGCCGAACAAAAGCTGTTTCGGCATGCGGTGGCTGGGCATGCGGGCTACATGACCCAGCCATCGCAGCCTTGCTCGCCGGAGGAGCTCACCGATGGGACCTTCCCAGATCTTTCAAGGATTTGTGAGCTCCTCACACAATCCAGTCTGGTTAAACCCAGGATGGATCGTAGACAGGCCAGCCTAAATGTTTCTAACCGGCGAAGATGTTCCATTAGGGGGGTCCACGTTTCGCAAACGTAGAGAAGGGAGGGAATGACCGTGGCCGAGAAGACCTGAAGCTTAGTGCGGAGCGACAGACCAGGTAGCTTCCACACAGCGTTACGCAACCGATGAAAAGATATTGCCGCTCGACTGATTCGGAGTGAGACCTCTGCTGTTAAACTGGAGCCGGTCATAAGCACACTGCCCAGGTATGGGAAACTCTCCACTCGCTCCACAGCTGCCCCATCACCGATTGGGAGTTGTGGGGGTGGAGTGTCCAATGGTAAAAAATACCCAGGCAGGTGCTTAGTTTTGGTGGATCTGATGGTAAGGCCCCACCTCTTAGTGGCATGCTCCAGTCTCAGCAGCAGCGTCTCCAACTCCTCCTCTGATTGATCAGCTATTACCAAATCATCAGCATACATGACGTGGTTGAGCAATAGGGAGCCAACCCTGGACCGCACCCGGGCATCGATCAGCCTCCCATTATATCTGTACCATATGGAGATTCCCCCGGTACAGCTATTGAAAGCTTCACGAACTACGTGGTCAAAATAGATGTTAAATAATGTGGGAGCCAGAGGACATCCCTGTCGCACCCCAAGGTGTACAGGGAATGGCTCTGACTCCCGACCACGTAGTTTTACCCGGGCTCGCTCACCATCATGAAGGTCCTTAATGATCGTGAGCAGAGGGTCAAGTACTCCAAAAGCACGAAGAATAACCCAGAGCCCAGGCCTACTGATGGTATCATAGGCCTTGACCAGGTCAATAAAACAGAGATGTAGGTCTTGTTGGAATTCCCTACACCTCTGCTGTAGCAAACAGGACTGCCCTTTCCTGAAACAACATTGGGGCTCCGCAAGCCTCTCCTCCGCGTGCCTGGCAAGGCGATGTTGAATAATCCTTGCCAGGACCTTTCCCGGCACACTGAGGAGTGAGATGCCCCTGTAGTTGTTACAGTCTGTGCGGTCCTCCTTCTTAAAGAGGGGGACCACCAGGGCATCCTTCCAATCCTGCGGAACCTGTCCAGTGGTCCAGACTGTTGTTATGATGTCATATAGGGCAGTCTGTGCACAAACGCCACCCTCCCTCAGCATTTCGCTTGAGAGATCATCTCTGCCCGCTGCCTTTCCTGGTCTCAGACTCCAGATCGCCTTCAGTACTTCGTCAACAGATGGCACCTCAGCCAGCCACTCACAGGGGGTGACTTCTTCCAATATTTGAGGCACCGCAGCCTCAGCAGGGTCATCCTCACTTTGTGCCACGATGTTTTCCTGGCTGAGGGATTTTCCCTTCCCCAGGACCTCACAGAAATGCTCAGCAAATCTGCAAACCTGTTCCTGGGGATCGGAGATTGGATTACCGTTTTTTCCCCTAATGATGGTAAAAGGTGTGGCGCTGCAGGTTACTTTTTTGATGGAGTTAAATAGAGATTTGTGATCACGGGCCACTGAGGCAGACTCCATCTCCTCAGCAACCCGCGACCACCACCCATCCTTGCAGCGCCTCACGGCTCTCCGAACCTCCGAGCGAAGGCTGCGGTAAGCCTCCTCATTCTCCGACGTGGGATTCTGTAGCCGATGCCAGTGGGCCTGTCGCTTTTTCTCAACCATCCTGAACACCTCCTCTGTCAGCCAGGGTCTCTGGGGAGGTCTGGACCGCGTACCCAAAGCAGCCATTGCAGCTGCATGAGTGACAGTCCTAAACCTCGCCCATTTTCCCTCGACATCAGGAGGAGTCGGGGACGATGCCAATCCCAGCCGCAAGCGATGATGAAATTCTCGCTAGCAACACAGAGACACACACACAGAGACACACACGGAGACACACACACACGGTGACACACACGGTGACACACGGTGACACGGTAACACAGTGACACACACACACAGTGACACACACACAGTGACACACACACAGAGACACACACAGACACACACGGTGACACAAACATGGTGACACACAGTGTGACACACACACAGTGACACACGCACACAGTGTGACACACAGAGACACACACGGTTGACATACACACAGTGACACACACACAGTGACACACACACAGTGACACACACACAGTGACACACACAGTGACACACACACAGTGACACACACAGTGACACACACACACAGTGACACACAGAGGTGTCCAAGTTAATATCTTTGTCTCATCCTCCCCGTGTCTCCCTCCCCGTGTCTCCCTCCTCGTGTCTCCCTCCCCGTGTCTCCCTCCCCGTGTCTCCCTAGGTCTGCTCACCCCTACGATGTCCCCGAAGTGATCTCCGTTCCCATTGAGCAGGGGAACCTGGCCTACCTCACCTGGATCGGAGACAGTGTGCCTGAATAGTCGCTCACCCACCCACTCACTCACCCACCCGCTCACTCACCCACCGACCCACCCACTCACACACCCACTCACTCACCAACTCACTCACCCACTCACTCACCCACTCACTCGCTCACCCACCCACCCACCCACTCACTCACTCGCTCACCCACTCACTCACACCCACCATTTCACTCACCCACCCTTTCACTCACCCACTCACTCACCCACTCACCCACTCACTCACCCACCCACTCACTCACCCTCTCACTCACCCTCCCACCCACTCACCCACCCACTCACTCACCCACCCACTCTCTCACTCACTCACCCACTCACTCACCCACTCACTCACCCTCTGACTCAATAAATCACCCACCCACCCACTCGCTTACACACACACCCACTCGCTTACACACCCTCTCACTAACCAACCCACTCAATAAATAATCCACCCACTCAATAAATCACCCACTAACTCACCCGCTCACCCACAAACTCACCCGCTCACTCTGCGTGTGCTGTGATCACGATGCCGAGGCTCACTCACGGATGGGCTCGCCCAGCTTGTATTTCGAGAAACCATTAAATGCATTGTGAATTTATGTGCGTACAGTTGTGGGTGGATGAGTGAGTGGGTGGGTGAGTGTGTGGGTGGATGGGTGGGTGAGTGTGTGGGTGAGTGTGTGGGTGAGTGAGTGGGTGAGTGGGTGGGTGGGTGGGTGAGTGGATGGGTGGATGAGTAGGTGGGTGAGTGGGTGAGTGGTTGGGTGAGTGGGTGGGTGGGAAGTGAATGAGTGTTTGGGTAATTGAGAGAGCGAGTGAGTGGGTGAATGAGTGATCGGGTGAATAAGTGGGTGGGTAAGTGAGTGGTTTGGTGAATGGGTGGGTGAGTGAATGGTAGAGTGAGCTAGTGGGTAGTTGAATGAGTAAATGTGGTACAGGAGGATGTGGAGCTGAGTGGACTTGCCGATGACCGGTACCAGCGGTGTCAAGATCGGCCTCTGTGGAGGAGGCTCGTTAAGGACGCTGCTACTGGGCAGTTGGAGGCAGTCGCCCTCCAACAACAACGGAGGGCGGAGAAGCGACGCTCACAACAACGAGCGGAGCGCCGGGTGGCTAAAGCACAGCAGGTTGGCACAGCAGGGGGCACAGGTGGTGCATCAGCCAGTCATTTCAGTCAGTCGACCCATGGCACCTGCTGGGTCTGCCCCGTGACCTCCTGCCAGCAGGCGTTCGACACTTCACGTGGCCTCAAGGTGCACATAGCCTGGCACAAGCGTCGTGGTGACGTCACCGCCACTTAGTGGTGAATGGTGGTTGTTGTTGTGTCTGTGTATCTGTGTGTGTGTCACTGTGTGTGTGTCACTGTGTGTGTGTGTCACTGTGTGTGTGTCACTGTGTGTGTCTGTGTATCTGTGTGTGTGTCTGTGTGTGTCTGTGTCTGTGTGTGTCCGGCAAAACAACCCCCTACCTCCTCGCGGTGCTGGACGGTCAACTCTGTCGTGGACAATGCTGTGGGGGGAGATCCAATTCCGATTGGCTCGTCCCCTCATGGCGTCTTTAACCACCACAGTGGCTGAACGGGGCTCTGGACGGGTGCGATGGGCTGCTAACCCCTCCACCTTCAATTAATTACCACAAAACCACGAATTAAATATGTAACTAATAAGCTTGTGCCAGAGGCCCTGGGGGGACAGGCGTCTATGACATCTGGCCAAACCCCATTTGGCGGAGCCAGGAGATTGAATCTCTACCCTCGGGGCTCCTCCAGAAACAACGAAAAGCCACTTCGTGTGGCCACATGGAATGTTCAAACGCTCACTGTGGAGGAGAGGCTGCCACTGCTCTGTCGGAAGCTGGACCGGTACCGCCTGGATCTCTGTGGCATTCAGGAGGTCCGGTGGACCGGTTCTTGCTCCTGCCACCATGAGGGGTGGACAGTCCTCTACTCGGGGCAGCAGACTGCCAAACAACAGGGTGTGGCTCTTCTTCTGAACAAAAGAATAAAGGGGGCTTCGGAGCGTAGCGGTGAGGTGTGGGAAGCTGTAAGCCCCAGGCTACTTTGGGCTCGCCTTCCCATCAACCGGAGGCGAGGAGTGGTGGTCATGGTTACCTATGCCCCCAATGAAGACGAACATCCGTGGAGGGATGAGTCAGACGCCTTCTATGACCTCCTGTCACAGGTGCTGGCTAAAGTGGCCCCTCGGGGTAGAGTCATCTTGTTGGGTGACTTCAATGCCCGAGTTGGTCATGATGCTGGCACCTGGTCTGGAGTGATTGGAGGGCAGATCAGCTCAATAACAACGGTAGGAGGCTGCTAAATTTTTGTGCAGCCCATGGGCTTGTAATTACCAACACGCTGTTCCGGCATCGGCGCATCCACACAACATCATGGATGCATGCCGGGTCCAAGCAAGAACATCTGCTGGACTACATAGTGACGGACCAGCGGATGCGGGCCCATGTCCTTGACACCAGGACCTACCGTGGAGCTGATCTGCCCTCTGACCATCGACTTGTCATCTGTAAGATGCGCCTGCCATTCTTCCACTCCGATGGTGGGTGTACACCCAGGACCCCATTCCCACCTAAAGTGGCCTGGTCTCAGTTATCTGATGAAAGTTGCAAGCGAAAATTTCATCATCGCTTGCGGCTGGGGTTGGCATCGTCCCCCACTCCTCCTGATGTCGAGGGTAAATGGGCGAGGTTTAGGACTGTGACTCATGCAGCTGCAATGGCTGCTTTGGGTATGCGGTCCAGACCTCTCCAGAGACCCTGGCTGACAGAGGAGGTGTTCAGGATGGTTGAGAAAAAGCGACAGGCCCACTGTCATCGGCTACAGAATCCCACGTCAGAGAATGCGGAGGCTTACCGCAGCCTTCGCTCGGAGGTTCGGAGAGCCGTGAGGCGCTGCAAGGATGGGTGGTGGTCGCGAGTTGCTGAGGAGATGGAGTCTGCCTCAGTGGCCCGTGATCACAATTCTCTATTTAACTCCATCAAAAAAGTAACCTGCAGTGCCACACCTATTACCATCATTTGGGGAAAATACGGTGATCCAATCTCCGATCCCCAGGAACAGGTTTGCAGATTTGCTGAGCATTTCTGTGAGGTCTTGGGGGAGGGAAAATCCCTCAGCCAGGAAAACATCGTGGCACAAAGTGAGGATGACCCTGCTGAGGCTGCGGTGCCTCAAATATTGGAAGAAGTCACCCCCTGTGAGTGGCTGGCTGAAGTGCCATCTGTTGAGGAAGTACTGAAGGCGATCCGGAGTCTGAGACCAGGAAAGGCAGCGGGCAGAGATGATCTCCCAAGCGAAATGCTGAGGGAGGGTGGCGTTTGTGCACAGACTGTGTTAGGGTCGCCGGCCCCCGGGATCTCCCCTGCCTGCGACCCTGTCCGCGAAGTACCGACGCTCCCAGACTCTCCACTAGTGTGGGAGCTGCCGCCGCCGCACTCCTCCCCTGGCGGGGAAAGGTCGTCGCGCTCCTGTTCCCCCCCCTGTGCCGTCCCCCCCCGAGTCCGGGTCTCCTGCCGGTGGGGCATCACACTCGACCCCCCTGGGACCCGCTAGCGCTTCGCCGGCACCCAAACGCGACGCTCCCCGCCCGCGCAGTCCCACGCACCAATCACACGCGGGTAACAGGGGGTCAAAGGTCGGAGGGTAAGCGACGTCGTTCGTGCTCACTCCGACGCTTGGGGGGATTGGTTTAAACGGGTTTAAAGGGCTATGCGATGGGCATGCGTGCGAGACGGGTATCCGCTCGCAACGCAGGAGTCCGCAGCCGACGGTTCGTAGCGCACACAATCCACGCGGCGCCGCTCCACACACGCGGCGACCACCGAGAACAGCAAGCGAACCCACGCTTCCACTAACTTTCCACACCCTCGCAAAAACCACCACACCAGTCTGTTATGTAACGACCACCGCGACAGCAAGCGCACCCACGCTTCCGCAAAAACCACACCAGTCCGTTATGTAACCGCCGACGATTTATTCCACCGCGTCGGCGAGCCCTTATTTAACCGAGTCAGTCGGGATCAGCGGGGCAGGACCGATCTATCTCTCGATAGTCGGCACTACACTCTACCTGTCCTTCTCCCCTTTACCCTCTCCGGTTTTGCTCTTAAGCTAAGTCCCAACTCCCTCTCTCTCTCTCTTACTCACGGTTCGTCGTCACTGCCGTCTGGTCCTCGCGGCGCGTCGATACGTCCCACGGACGTTCGCGCGGCTGGACTCGGGAGTTGACGGGCCTGGGGTTGACTCGAGTAGCCAGAGAACCTTTCTCCTTCGCCCTGACCCGCTTTATTCTTTCTACATCAAAGGGGCTACCTGGTGCCGACTCGCGGGCCAATCAGCTCGCTGGGATCACCTGCCAATCGGTAGGCCCATCTGTATCCCAGCATCCCCCGGGCCGTTGCTTTCAGCGACGTCCGCATCTAAATTTACCTGCTCAGCGGCCCTCCAGCCAGAGGGCGACCCTGCTTTCCCGCCGCTCGTGGCTCTGCCCTCCTACCTGCCTGCTGACCCGTGTGTGTTGTGTGTGCTGTCTACCCGCGGTGGCTCGGCAGCCCCGTCGTGACCATGTAATTACAACCAAAGTCACGGCGCCGCGGTGGGTGTTAGCGTCGGGGGAGACCGTCCAATTCCCTGGCCGCAGGAAACCGTGAAGATTATCCCTTTACGAGGGCTTCTGGGTGAAAACCTGTCGGCCAGGGTGTCTCCCCACGCGCTCTAATGGTGGGGGGGAGTGCGTGCGTGTGTGTTCCGGTGGGGGGGGGGGGTGGGGAGGTGGTGGGGTGGAGCAATGTCGGCCTCGCCGCTCGGAGCGGCGAGATCGCAGGTGGGCCACCCGCCGATCGGCTCCGTGGCGGCGGCATCACAACTGCCCTATATGACATCATAACAACAGTCTGGACCACTGGACAGGTTCCGCAGGATTGGAAGGATGCCCTGGTGGTCCCCCTTTTTTAGAAGGGGGACCGCACAGACTGTAACAACTTCAGGGGAATCTCACTCCTCAGTGTGCCGGGAAAGGTCCTGGCAAGGATTATTCAACATCGCCTTGCCAGGTACGCTGAGGAGAGGCTTGCGAAGCCCCAATGCGGTTTCAGGAAAGGGCGGTCCTGCACAGATGCCATATT